GTCTGTCGTGCCCTCTGCTTGTGACAGAACAAACATTTCTGCCCTTAATCATACAAGTAATTTTTTAAGTGTCATACAAGTATTTCTAGATGAGCAGTAAGATCCTATTATATTGAAGAAAAACAGGTGAGAAAGTGGATAATTTTGAATCAGATTTTAACTGCAAATGTAGACAAAGATAACAAAAGGAATAACAAGGTCTAGAAGTAAAGCCCAAAGATCTTATCAATGTAAATCTGGTCTGTTTTGGTTACATAATACATGTTTAAATAAAAAGTGATTTAAAGATCTAAGCAAATGAAAAATAAAATGTAAGGAAGGAAAAGTCCCCAAATCAAAGAAATTCAATTTTTTAAAGGATTAATTATCTTTTTTAAAACCAAGGTCTTTGGCTTTTTGTTATTTTTAATTTGGTAAGACACATATAACATAAAAGTCACCATCTTGATGATTTTTAAGATTTGTAATATATCTATTTGAGAGAGAGAGAAACAGAGAGAGAGAGAGAGAGAGAGAGCATGAAGAGGAGCAAAGGGAGAGGGACAAGCAGGCTCTGGGCTGACCACAGATCCCGCCGCAGGGGCCCCAGTCCCAGGACCCCAAGACCCCAAGACCATGCATGACCTGAGCTGAAACCAAGAGTCTAACACTCAACCAACTGAGCCACCCAGATGCCCTTGCCATCTCAATGATTTTTAAGTATATAGTTTAGAATTATTCAGTACATTCACAGTATTGTTCAACAAACCCCAGAAGTTTTCGTCTCGCAAAATGGAAACTCTACCAATTAGACAACACTGCATTCTCCCCTCCCCCGCCCCTTGCCATCACCATCCCACTTTCTGTCCTTATGAAACTGAAGACTCCGGAAACCTCATGCAAGCTGAGACCTACAATATTTTATCTTTTTTTGTAGCTGGCTTATTTCACCTCACATCCTGTCCTCATGGTTCATTCACGTTGTAGTGTGTGGCAGAACTTCCTTCCTTTTTAAGGTAGAATGCTATTCTGTGATGTGTACAGTCCACATTTTGCTTATCTGTGGATGGCCAGGTGGGTTGCAGCCAACCTTCTTGGACTTACGTTTCTAACACATGAAACTAAGTGGGCACTGGTGCTGGAGTCAGAACACTTGGGTTCAAATCCCTCCCCTCCCGCCTCCATAGTAGCTCAGAAAATACGCAAGTTAAGACAGAAGAAGGTAAAGGAAAGGTAGGTATACCACGAAGCACTCAGCAAATTAAAATACTGACAGACATTGCAGGGCACCTGGGTGGCTCAATCATTAAGTGTCTGCCTTCGGATCAGGTAGGTCATGATCCCAGGGTCCTAGGATTGAGCCACACATCGGGCTCCCTGCTTGGCAGAGAGCCTGCTTCTCCCTCAACCACTCCCCCTGCTTGTGTTCCCTCTCTCACTATATCTCTCTCTGTCAAATAAATAAATAAAATCTTAAAAATAAAATAAAATAAAATACTGACATTACTAGGTTCTCATGAGGGTTTTTGATACCGCAAAGTCATCCAAACACTCGTTTGTGGCTACAAATAAGGACAAACACAGGCGACGTGCTGAAACTGCAGAGACTGAGCCTCCTCTGAGGACAGTACTGGCCACGGGACAGCTGTCTAACTGGTAAACAGCAGTAAACAGTGGGGGAAATAAGGTGATGGGGGGCACAATGGCCCAGCCCCTCAGTCGCTGGGGCTCAGGAAAGGTCTTCCAGGGCCAAGTCCTAGACAGGAAGGGAGTCCGGGACAGCAGAACCGGCCGCAGATTTGAGAGGCTAAAGCACAAGCTTGGGAGAGAGAAACTAAGTCGATGGAAAGGGAATCTCAATAAGCGGAGCCCCAAAAGAGAACAGAAAAGACAAAACACAAGGCCTAATTAAGTGTCAATCAACAGAAAGAAAGGAAAACCCACTAGAAGGCATGCATCGCTCCGTACCCATTCTGGTGCCAGTGTGAGTCTCCCGGCCCTGGCTTGCCTGGAGTAGCTTCAACTGCTGAAAACAAATTGTGGCTCAGGAGTATAAATTAAAATTGCAGCAGCAAAAGCTGACACTCATTAAAAGCTTACAGACTTTGTGTCACACTTCATGCCATTAAATGGAAATGTTTTAAAAGTTGAAAACATATCCAAAAATTCATAAAACACAAACTACTCAAGTCTGTTTTTTCAAATATGAGCAACGTGCCAAGTTCCTATATGACAGCTTCATATTAGTATTTACTTATCACGCCCACTTCACCCCAAAAAGGACTGAACCAGCCACCATCTTATGTTACCTGGTCATCACGTTTCAAGAGCTCCCAGAACTATAAAGGACCTACAAGGTTATCTATCTACAAAGAGAGTTTCTATGCCCCCAGACACTCCCCAAGGAACAGACTAGACCACCAACATGAGAACGGAAAGGCCTGTGCCCGGCTCAGAGGAGACTCCGAGAGACCCTGGGATGAAGAGCTGTGACCAAGCAGGAGCATCGGGCATGGACCAGGAGACATCCTTTCTTCACTTTTCCACATACTGACTGGCCCTTCCACTCCTATCGTCAGGGCCTCCTAGGAGCTGTTTCTGAATGCTGGTGATGCCCATCATAGGAATTGGTGCTGAAGGGTGAGAAAAGTTCCCCAGGAGAGCAGCAAGGAAGAAAATAGGGCAAGCAGAAAGAGAAGTGTGAAGACCACCAGAGCTTCGGAACGCCCAGTGAGTGGGGGAGGGGCAGAAAGTAGAGACGGAACAGGTGTGATCTGGAACACACCTTTCCCTCGTCAGGAGGAGAGGAATTAGCATGTGTGGAAATGCCACACACTTCTGGGTAGGGAGAGACAGGAAACATATCAACAGGGCGTGGAGTAGGGCAGGCAGCAATGGATGGGGAAGGAACGGTGTGGGGCCATAGGCTCTGCGAAGGATGTGTCTGCGACACCAGGACATCCTTATTGCCAACGTTTTATGGTCAATATTTGAATCAACAAGTGAAATGTCCTTGCTTGAACTCCATGCTCACCAGGCGTTGGTGTAGCGGGTCTGCCGACCAGAGGAAGAACACAACCCAGTCACTCTTCTCCCAAGTCACATGTTTGTTTCTTGCAAGTCTGGGGAAGGACCACTGCTGAGGGCCAGTCAAGTCCCTCAGTCTAAAAAGGCCTCAATCTGTAAAGGGACGGTCCTGGAAGGCTGGCTTTCCCAAGCTGGTACTAACCAGGTAAAGCCTTGGCTCCTTAGCAACTTCCCAGGGGTCTGCCCAGGGGTCCACAGCACTGTGAGCACCACTAAAACCCCACTCGGGCTGCAGCTAAGCCCGTTGGTCTCCCAAGCCTTCCATGTCTTGCTATTCTAACAGCCTTGGACTAGAGCACAAACATCCTATAACTTTGCATTTGCCCAGCTCGACCTTAGTCAGCTTTCTACCACTTCTCTATTTTATAAAATTGACTTGGCTCTTTTCTACTCTTATCTCAAGATTTTAATAATTAGGGTCTACATGATGTTCTACTGACACTGTTTTCTACATCATCCAAGCCATTCCCCAAAACATGAAACATCCCTAGACCAAAGATAAGAATAACTTCGTATGTCCCTCAAGTTGGCCCTGAATTGCTTAGGCCTGAGAGCCACATGACTTTCTACTCAGAAAAGAACTGGTGAAGACTTATTCTTTTATTTATTTTTTTTTTTTAAAGATTTTATTTATTTATCTGACAGAGAGAGATCACAAGTAGGCAGAGAAGCAGGCAGAGAGAGAGAGAGAGAGAAGCAGGCTCTCTGCAGAGCAGAGAGCCCGATGCGGGACTCGATCCCAGGACCCTGAGATCATGACCTGAGCCGAAGGCAGCGGCTTAACCCACTGAGCCACCCAGGCGCCCCTTATTCTTTTATTTTTGTTTGTATTATTAACTTTTGGCCAAGGTCATTTTAATTTTTCTATTGATAGTAACTCAGTTACAATCCCTTTTATACTCCCACACACTCCATTGTTTTAATGCAAAGCAGTTCATTAATGTAAAATCAAATCAGATGCTTTGACTTCCATTCTTTCATTTTAATCAGTGTGACAAAAGTAAAAACAAAACAAAGCAAATCCTGAATAAAACCTCTACAGAAATTTGTTAAATGAGGAGGAAAGATGAGAGGAGCTTCTTGAAAATGCACATATGCTGAGCACAGCTTACCCGTTTTTACTGTTATGTCTGTTGAGCCATTTCTAAAGAAAACTAGAAAAGGTTTGCTCTGTTGAAGACAGAAGCCTTGTATACAACTTCAGATTTCATACTGTTGCATTCCAACATTAATGATGTCCCTAAGGTTCTTGCTTCTTTTAACTTTAGTCTTGCCAAATGTAATGAAATATCTTATCGCAGTGAAACTCAAAATTACTGGTTGTAAGAGCAGACCTACAACAATGTTCCATAGCTTTATATTTGTCCCCAGATGAAAACCAACCATATAATCCATTGGGCTACTATTCTCCAAGATTCTAGAAAGTATACCCCTATGATGTAAGTTAGAAAGGAAGATCGTTCTTCAATTTCCTGAACTATTTTACTTAAAGAACTATTTTGTGGCACAGTCAGAATGATGGCACCCATTTGTTTATGGGCTATTTGAGAAAGCTGAATAGTCTGTCACAACTTCCAAAAAGAGAACTCTTCCTACTCAAGCGAATATTTTTTAAGAAGAATTAAGTCATTCTTCTAACTACAATATTGGCTTAAGTCACTTGCCACCATGAGAAGAAATAAATTCTAAAGAAGTTGGTAACATTCAATGTACATTATAAGCTTTCCAAAGTGAATAAAAAGATTCCAGGCAGACAAATAATTGAACTACTTTGAGAAAGTATTCATATCTTAAAATAATAATTTGTTGTTAACCAAGCTATTGAGAGTAAAATGAAATTGGACACATTTCCAACACAGCCGGAATACGGAATACAACTCAGACCGGACCAAAGTCCGTTTCTTCAGCCATCTCTGACGACCAGACTCGCTTACCTGCAAGTATGAGGAGAGAAGCTGAGCCTGGAGCTACATCGTCCCTCCTCTGGGTGAAAATACCTGGGCTTCTTCCCGTGAAACGGAAAGGAATCTAAAACATAAGAAAATAAAGTAAAATACAAATAAGAAGTAGGAGCCCCCTGTGAATTCCCATGTCTCCGCTCTAGGTGATATTACAAAATGGTAGAAATTTAAATCGTTTAGGATATAAAATACGATTCACTCCCCACACCCAGGACGGTGTTTCCCCCTCCCTATTTTAATGGATAAAATACAAAATATTCGTACACACGCACGCGCACGCACACGCGCGGTTTAAAACAAACGGCTGAAGCCCCGCAGGAGTGCGCGTGAGGGCCGCCCCCCGACCTGAGAAGGACCCCCCCCCCCCACAAAGCCAAACTCGCCTGAGAGAAACGTGCCCGCCGCCCGCGCGCTGCTCCCGCACCCGGGCTCGCGCGTTCCGTCCGCGCCGGAGTCCCTGGGCGTCCAGCGGGGGTCAGGAGCTAAAGTGCCGCCCCCTCGGCAAGGACCGTGTGCGGCGCCACCAATTTTCTTTTTTCTTTTCTTTCCTTTTTATTTCCTTTTCCTTTTTCTTTTTTTAATGTTTTCATGGAACGCAATGTTACAAAAGAGCAAATCCTCCTTCAAGTTCTGCCCGAGGGGCGGAAAGGGCGCGCGCGCTTCGGAAGGGTCCCGGGCCGCCTAGAACGCCCCGCTCCGGGCGCATCCCCCGCCCCGCCCCCACCCGGGTTCCGCGCGCGGCTGGCGCTGTCCCGCAGCTGGCGCTATCCCGGGGGCGGGGAGGGGCGCACACGCGTCCGCGAGCTTCCCCGGGCCCCCCCCCCCCCCCGCGGCCCCCCCCCCCCCCCCCCCCCCCCCAGGTCCCGGCAGAGTGCGGCAAGGCAGGGACGGGCGACCGCCCCGCGCCACCCCTGCCTGTAAGGGACGACAGTGGAGGCCACAGATGTGTCAGCGCAGGTGAAAGCAGATGGAAACGAGGGACAAGAACACGTTCCGGAAGCAGAGGCCGGAGAACGTTCTGGAAAGGGGCTGGACCTCCTGTAGGAGAAGGGTTCACGACCGCACAGCGCCGTCTTCGATGGGTGAGCGGTCCCCTCCCCCAGAGTGCTCGCGGTCTGGTCTCACGTCATCTTTATAGTTCAAGGGACAGAGAAAAGCAAGCGACACTCTTGTTCCCGTGTCACATGCGGGAGTAAAGAGGGGCCTGAAAGCCAAGACAGGACCGAGAAGCCCGCGGGCCACCGCGCGTCCTTTCTCACGGGGACAGCGGCCGTGTCCACGGCGGATCTGACACATTTCTGCTCCTCCCGGCGCCTAACTTTGAAGGTTTTCTCCGAGGCATCCCTGTGAACGGGACAACGCCACGTCCGTTGGGATCCGCACCTGCCTCCCAGTTTACGTGGGCTTGAGGTTAAAGTGCGCTGGGCCCGCCCCGGGCCATCCTCTCCGGGACAGGGACGGTGCCCTCCGCGGCTACCAGGGGGACTCGGGGCTGCAGCTCGGCCTCTCCCTGGCCTTGCTCTCACCACCGACACGTCCGTCCTTGCCTGGATAATTAATCTCTGTCCCAGTGGAGTTGCTGTTGGCAGAAAGGCGGCCATGCCAAAGTGGAATAATCACTTGGACCTGAATCGGAGTTGTTTTCCATCCTTGACAGCAAATAACGTTATTCCAGCGCCTGCAGGCCAAGAGTTGAAATGAGTTTATAATTTGGCTTCCAATCTCACATTCTCATTCTCCACCACTTAAATTTTCTTTTCTGTCTTTTAGCATGCAGGGGGCAGCTTCGGAGGCTGAATCACTGACACGGTCTTTATTGATATCCTTAATGAATATCCTTTGCCATCTACATAAAAAAGGGAAACATCCGCATCGTCCAAAACCACACTTGTTTTAATAATGAAACTAAACAGACTGTCGGCTCATACCTCCGTATGATCATTAATAATCTAATTTGTACTTCTCTCTCCAGCAACTTGAAGAGAAACATTCACAGTTTTTTCATCCACACACAGTAGTGCACATTCATCCGGCTTCTAAGTGCCTGGCTCTCGCACCGGCAAACCGCAGGGTGAGAGCCCCAGGACGGCCCAGCACTGCCCTCTTTCCCTAGTGAAAGAACTCATTAAAACTCCGATCCTTGGCTCTGGGAAGTACATTGTCTCCTTAGCAGTTCCAAATATCATGTTCCCCCAGAAAGCAGTCATCCCAAGTTAGTGATAAAAAAGGAGAGACAGGAAGGCAGAAACACTGACAAGACTCCCTCGGAGATGGGGGTGGATGGGGAGTTGGCATCATGGAAAATTACTGAAGGTAAACAGAAGGTCCGTTAGGGAGAAGTGGGTGTGTTCAACTAGACACATCATCTATTAGAAGAAAGGCAAGGGGCACCAATGACACGGCTACCATGTGCCATACCCTGTCTAGCTGCATTACATACAAACTCATTCAACCCCCGCAACAAGGCTACACATATGTGTATTAATATTCCCATTCTACAGATGGAGAAAGTGAGGCTCAAAGGGGTTAAGAAACTTCCCTAGGAGTACATGCTAAAGCCAGGATTTCCTGACTTTAGAACCAAAGCTCTAGAGAGAAAAATGAAAAGCAAGCCCTTACTTTTTCTATTATGCGACACTGTCTTGGCTGCAAGATCTGGTCCTCCTGTGTGGTTCTCTAAGACCGTATGGGACCAACAGGGGCTTCAACTGCATTAAAGCGGGGGCCTGTCAGAGACGCCAAAGGTGGCCATCGAGGCCTTGAGAACACAGCCCCTCCCTGATCCTCTGAATCCCTCACCCGTATAAGAAATCACAATGACAAAAACACACTCTTGGATGAGTCTTCCTGAGTATCAAAGAAACAATTAGAATTGTTCAAAATAAAATCTAAATCCAAGAAAACAACTGCAGGTGTGCGGATATAGTGCCCTGCTCTGTTCCATTGAGAAAATAGTTCTCAACAACATCCCTCAGTCTAAACATCTGTAGCCAGATCTGAGGTCCCCTCTCCTATCTCCAATGTCCTGTGTGTTCTCGTTCGTTTGGCATACAGAGTGAGACAATTATGTGGATTCACAAGTTTTAATTATGGTAAAAAAGTAGGCGAGAGAAGGCCGATGTGCAGAGAGTGGCTGGGAGAACGTCCATGAACAATCACATACATGGATGTGGAAGTTTCCCAGCAGGATTCTAAAGGTTAGGATGTCCGTCCCACCACAGTCCCACAGTAATAGAGTCTGACATACATTAATTAACAGGACTCCATAAATAAGTCATCTTTTTTTTTTTAAGATTTTATTTATTTATTTGACAGAGAGTGAGAGATCACAAGTAGGCAGAGAAGCAGGCAGAGAGAGAGAGAGAGAGAGAGAGAGGGAAGCAGGCTCCCCGCTGAGCAGAGAGCAGATGTGGGCTCGATCCCAGGATCCTGGGATCACAACCTGAGCTGAAGGCATAGGCTTTAACCCACTGAACCACCCAAGCACCCCAATAAGTCATCTTTTAACCATATTAAAAGGAAGCTACCAAAACTCAACTAGTGAAAACAGCAATCTAAAATGTTGAAAATGAGTACGTTGAGATCAATAATATTTTAACAATCTAGCAACCCATTCTATAAAATGTACAATTCCTAAGTGAAAGTTCACAGCAATTTAATTTCTAAAGAGCTTCAAAAACACAACTGATCCAATGGTACAATAATACCTATTCATGGGCCTTAAGCTCCAAGGCTTCCTCATCTTCATAAATGCCAATCTTTAACTCTTTAGTCCATCTAAACCCATATGTATCAGATACGTTGATTCCTGAAATGTGAGAAATAAGCAAGGAAGACGAACAAGCCCTTTCATCATCAATGTGCCGAAAGCAACAAAAGAAAGGCACCAAAATAGGCGGAGACTAGATATGTGTCTGCCAACTCAAGCTACCTGTGATATTTTTCTTTGTGTGTATGTGATAATAATATATGTTTTTAAATCTTAATGGTAATGTCTTTTATTTGTATAAATATGTTATGGTACTAGAAGACAGAGCAGGGATAGAGTCAGGAACTATGCAGACAACTTCTAAAATTATCTTTCTTAAGAATTTGTTTCAGAGGGGCCCCTGGGTGGCTCAGTTTGTTGAGCTTCCTACTCTTGGTTTCAGCTCAGGTCATGATCCCAGGGTCGTGGGATCGAGCCCTGTATTGGGCTCAGCACAGAGTAGGCTCTTCCCTCTCCCTCTTTCATTCCCCCTCTGCTTCTGCCCCTGTCTCCCTCACTCCCATGCCCTCTCTCTCAAATAAATAAAATCTTAAAAACAAAGAATATGTTTCAGAAAAGAAAGTGCCCTTGCATGCTACCCATTATAAATCACATGTAACTATATTCTTGACCACATTCTTTCCACATTAAATAATTATGCTGAAAATAGTATGTTTTAGAGCACAACTGACTTTAAAAATCATGAGTTTCTCCAAAAATGTTGCTCTTCTGTTATCCAGTGAAATGAAAAACAGGATCACTGTGTCTTGGTCTAGCATGTACAGAAGCAGACTAAATAAGAAGATATCTCTTTATCTCTTTCTTATTCCTAATCCTTCCAGTGAAGTAGGTCACTCTTATTTTCTTCAATTTTTCATTCTGATAAATGGGGATAATCTCAGATACTCTTTGCAGAACTATGGAGACTATCAACAAAATTATATCGCTAAATTATTTGAAGTCTCTTTTTAAATGTACAGGTCTAGAGCAATTGAATTACTGGGTATTGACCCCAAAGATACAAATGTAGTGATCCTAAAGGGCACATGAACCCCAATGTTCACAGTAGCAATGTCCATAATAGCCAAACTGTGGAAAGAGCCCAGATGTCCTTCAACAGATGAATGGATAAAGAAGATATGTTATATATATACAATGGACTATTAGCCATCAGAAAGGATGAAATCTTACCATTTACATTGATGTGGATGGAGCTAAAGGGCACTATGCTGAGCGAAAGAAGTCAATCAGAGAAAAGACAATTATCATATGGTTTCACTCATATATGGAATATAAGAAACAGCCCAGAGGACCATAAG